CCCACTCCCAGCTGCGCCGCGCTGCGGCGGCTGCGGCCCCTTTAAGGCCAGCGGAGGAGCGGCTCTTGCCCCGCGGGGGTTGCCGGGACATGTAGTCCCGCAGCCGCCGGGCGCCCCGCGGTGGAGCCCGGGGGAACTACAAGTTCCAGGGGTGGCCGCGGCCGCGCTCCCGCTCCGCCTCCTCCCGGGCTGCTGCCCCGGGCTCGGCTCCAGCGCCGGGAGAGGGGTCGGCGGAGCAGGTGGGTGCGGAGGGCAGTGGCGGGGGGGTAGCTCATGTACCCTGGCCTCTGCCTGGAGGGGCATCTTCAGCCCATTCTACAGAAGGGAAGACTGAGGCACAGAATGGTCAATGGGGGCATCTTCCCCAGGCCCATCCTACAGAAGGGAAGACTGCGGCACAGAGCAGTCAAGGGGGGGATATCTTCCCCAGGCCCATCCTACAGAAGGGGAGACTGAGGCATAAAGTAGGCAAGTGGGGTATCTTCCCCAGGCCCATCTACAGAAGGGGAGACTGAGGCATAGAGCAGTCAAGGGGGGCACCTTCCCCAGGCCCATTCCACATAAAAGAAAAATGAGCCACAGAGCAGTCAGAGGGTGGAGGGGGCATCTTCCTCAGCCCATTCTGCAGAAGGGGAAACTGAGGCAGAGAGGTCAGGGCACGTGGCTCAGGTCAGCTGCCAAGAGAGCCCGCAAGTCATGATTTCCCATGGCTAAAGGGTTGGGCAGTGCTGAGGCTAGGTGGGCGAGGTGCCTGTGGCTCAAGGGAACTGCGAGTGCGCCGGTCTGTGCTGATGTTTCGAGAGCTTTGGGGTCCTCGCTGTCACCACCAGCCCCTGACTGGCCTGTACGGACTGCAGAGCGATCGTGCTGCCCCTTCCTGCTGTGGGAAGGAGAAAGGGAGCCGATCCCTTAGCATATGTGGAGGGTTTAATTTGGCAAGTGGCTGCTGCTTTCTTAAGGGTTTGATTCTCTGGTGAAGGCCTCGCCGGTCTGTCTGCACGTCCTCCCCAGCCTGCACAGGCCTCTGCTTGCATTCGGGACACGCAGGCAATTCGGTTGCCCTTTAGCCTGTCCACTGAGCTCCAGTTCTCAGCAAGAATCGCCGGTGCTGTTTCCTGGACAGACTGCAGCCTCTGGAAGATGATGCTTTAAAGCAGTATTTTTTTTACGCACGCCTTTTTGGCACAGATGGAGTGGCTGTTCCCAGTGGTACAGAGTGGGATTGAGGAGTGGGGCCAAAGGAGTCGGGACCATTATGAAATGATTGCTCCCCTCGTTCATGTTGCTTTGAGGTCTTTCTGGCAATGAACTCTCTACAGGCCTGCCTAGAGAGAGGACTTTCCAAGATGAAATCTTGGAAATACCCACATTTCCCCCCAGCGTATTACTCCATGTTACAACAGAAAACAGATTGATGGCAGCCCTCCCATTGAGTCAGGACAGGGAGGGTGGTGATATCCCTCTTCATACCTGCTGAGAGATTGCAACCGCCCATCCCCACAAACTGAGATCACATCTATGTCTCTATACTCATGCATTGAGTCAGAAAAGAGGCAAGCCTTTCTGGCCTTGAAAATCCCACTTTTATAATGTCAAACTTACCCCAAGAGGCACTCCCAGTTTTAACCAAGCAGTTAACCACCAGGCCCTGTCTTTCACATTGTCTCGGTGGAAATATTTTTCTTCCTACCCTGCAGCACTACAAGGAGAGAATGTGGGTTTTCCACAATGAACTTAATCAAGATAAGCACATACAAATGCATAGTAAAGCCCACGCTCCAGAACTGAGACAGCAATGAGTGGGTGGCCCAACCACCGATACCTGCCAGTCCTGTTAAGCTATTCTCTGCAGATTGTGATTTAACTCCTTTTTTATATCTTCCCGCTGCCCTGAAACCTAGAGGTCACTGCTGTTTGGTAGTGGTTAGGCAAGGGGTGAGCTAAGTCTCAGGTATGTTCATTTTGTTTCTCCCCACCTCCCTTTGTGGTTACTCCGTTTTGTCAACCCATTGCAGCTTTTCTCATTAGCTGCGCTAATTAGCTGCGCTAATGTCCGGGGCTGCCTTTTAGATTATTCTTTACTTCCCCTGATCTCTCACTGGGACATCTAGTAATAATAATATGGTCCTGAAGAAGGACTAGGAACGAAATATGTTTAAAGACAGTGATAGCTGAAGTAGGGAAACAGGCTGGTGCTATTTGGTATGACCAGATCTCAGCTTCAACGCAAATGGACATTGTTCATGGTATTTTGTAGGTATTGGAATTTTTCATTGAATCTGAAATGGACTATTGCACAGTCTTAATTGTGACTTAGTCTCAGGCCTCTGGCAGCAAGGGACATGTTAATGAATGTTAAAGCAAAATGAAGCCTGTAAAAGTCAAGTCAAGTCAGTCCCAAGGTCACTGTGGCCATTGGGGCACTTTAGATGCTGTTACAACCCTCCACCCTATCCTGTGTTCAGCTAGATTTGTGCAGTCTCACAATTGAAGCCCCAAGTCCTTAATATTGGTTCCCCAGCTCAGCTCCTCTTCAGTCTCCCTCTCCTTCTCCTTCCCTCCACTGCACCCTGCATTATGGTGTTGGCAAGGGTGTCCAAAGCATTGCAGCTTCCTTCGTTGCACAGCCTCCAACAATGGTTCATAGGTTCCAATTTCTTGATTGATTTGCTGCTTGACAGACTCATTGGCTCGGTGCTCAGTGTACGAGACCGAGCACATTTAACAGCAAGTGAGTAATACATGAGAAAAGTGAGAAACCTTGGGCATGTCATCCAAATCAGAACAAGCATAATGTAGGGGGAAGTGCCTTTGGACAACCAGAAAGGCCTGCATATTTCACCTGGATGTACTCAAGAGAAAGAAACCCTATTCCAGCACTTTGAACAACCAAGCTTACTTGTCGATCCATATTTAATGTCTTTAGCTGCCAGTGAACAGGTGCACAGAATTTTTTCCACAGTTGCCTGTTAAATGGAAACAGCTCATCCCCTGCTAGTGGAGAAATATTTTCTATAATACATTTCCTAGCTTCTCTTTTGTCCCAACTTTACTAAAATTACCCAAGCAACTGGGATTCCACTAGTTCCCTTGGCATTATTCCAAAGGCAGATAGATCTGTTCTTCCCGATGCGTAGCATAAATGTTTCATGCCTTATTTTCAGTTTATTGCCACTAGTAATTCTACATTGCAGCACCCTAAATAATTAATCTCCCTGTTTGTTGTACATAGGCTTAGCAAACCATCTGGAACACCTTGGTCTTCTCTTAACCAAGCTGCACATCTTTAATTCTCTTAACTTTTCAGTGTAATCTGATCTCTCTCATTTTGCTGCTCTGGATTTAATTCCTTTTGCCCCAAATGAAACACCATGTAATCAGCCTGTTTCTATTTATTCTGTGGTACCCAAGCAGCCCAAAGTGCCATTGGTCACTTTTTCCTGCTATGCCACCTTGCAAATTAATGTTCAGTTTTATGTCTCTCACAGGATCCAGGGAAACCTTTCAAATTTCTGCCTCCCAGCAAATGCCTGTGTTGGGGACTGTTTGTCCCTAGCCGTGCTGCTTTACACTGTCAAATCAAAACCTCACTTGACTTCCTAATCTGATTAATTTCTTTTCACAACATTTCTTTGCCTTCAGCCTTCATTGAGATTTACAACTCCTCTTAAGCTTTTATCATTCCCCACATCATCAATGAGGCTGTTAAAAAGGACCGTCAACATTGTGAAGGCATGCAGCTAGACACCTCTTCCCAACTGGCTGTTTCAAAGTGGACTGATTGAAATCATAGCGATCCGAATCACCAGTGTGATCAGCAAGAAAATGTTATTTTAATAACTGATTCTAATGTTGTTTTGCAGTTGTTCTTTCTGCATGAAATTCTGTTTCCCTTTGCGCGCCTATATGACGGTTTTCCAGCTGCTTAGGTGGTGCTTTGGGCACTCATGGACAAGCTGAGATTTGTCCACCTGCCGCAGGTTAGAGTTGTCTTCTTTTGGGGCAGTATGCCTTGTATTTGTGTGAACAGGTTTAGGAATAGGTTAGACAAAGACTTGGATGGGATAGTTTAGTTGGGGGTGATCCTGCCTCGAACAGGGGGCTGTACTAGATAACCTCCAGAGGTCCCTTCCAGCCCTACTTTTCTATGATTTGATGAGTCTGTTATCCCTGCCTGTTGCACATAGACTGAGCATGTACAGAACATGACGCACTAGCTGGTCAGTCAGTGAAGTGGGGGATATGCACTGGGTTTTGGTTATCTTTGGCTGCCAGACAAAGAGATCTGTCCTGTTCAAGGAACATTGTGAAGATGGGAAATGCTTTAAGTAACTCAATTACTCAAAGTCAGGGGCAGGCAAAATACAGCCCGTGGGCTGAATCCAACCTGCCAGGCAATTCTATCCAGCTTGTGGGGCCTCTCCACAAGCCAAAAAAATTATCATGGGCCCTGGCCCTCAGCAATGGCAATGAAAGCTATTGCCTCCATGCAGGTGTGGCTCTGGCTGTTAAACACCCAACCCTCACCCCAGCCTGGCTTCACCTGCCACCAGCCCCAAGAGAGGGGGTCCTGGAGACAAGAAGCTTCTGCCTGGCAGGGGCTTTTGCTTAGTTACTCCATGGCTGTTCCCCAGCCCTCGCTCCCTGGGAGTGTGGAAATTCAGGTAAGGGCCCCACCGGGCTGGGGGCCAGGGACTCCTGTTGGGGGAAAGTGAGTCGGGAGCATGGGGAGCCAGGCTGGCCTACCACGCTGCCACTATGTGTAGCCAAGGGCTCGGGCAAGAGTGCGAGAGCTGCACGGGATGGAGCTTGGTGGGGCTGGCCCTGCACCCTGCCACCATGTGCTGCCAGAGACGTGGGTGGGAGTGCTATGGGGCCAGGCCAGGCTGGCCCCACGTGCTGCCGCCCCATATAGCCAGGGACCTGGATGGGAGTGTGGGGAGCTGCATGTTATGGGTCCGGGTGGGGCTGGCCCTGCACACTGCCACCACATATGGCGGGGGACTTAGGTGGGGAGCTGCATGCCATGGGACCAGGGCGGGATGGTCCTGCACACTGCTGCTGTGTGCAGCCGAGGACTCAGGTGGGATCACGGGAGTTGCATGCTATGGGGTAGGGCTGGCTCTAGATGTTGGTACCACATGCAGGGACTGATATGCTCCAGGGACTCCAAGGACAGCCCCCCCGCAACACCCCGCTGCCCCCCACACTGTACACCCACATGCCCCACCATACCCACACACACATCCATTCCCTCCCACACTTAGAGTCTAAGTAACTTGGCTCATTGCATGTAAATCCCACTTTATAAGCCACAACTGTCTGTAGAACAAGAGGGGGAAAAATCTGCAATCTTTATCCATTTGGGGGGCAACTGAGAGCGAGCAGATTTAGGCTAGATATCAGGAAAAACTTCTTCACAGTAAGGGTGACCAACATTTGGAATGGGCTTTCAAGGGAGGTGGTGCACTTTCCCACCTTGGGGGTCTTCAAGAGAAGGCTGGGTAGGCATCTGGCTGAGGTCATCTGACCCCAG